CTAGCCTTGGAGTTTAGAATTTACTTGGTTTTAATCAACACTCTTAATGAGAATCTAACCAAAGAGTGCAGCATTTATTTTCCACTTGTTTCCACTACGCCATACTGTTAAAGGCGTCAATAAATTAAAGAACAAACGTGAACATCAAGTCTAGCAATGCCTTTCTCATATCACAATTTGTTTGCAGGATATAACTAATTATATTGTTTATATCATAATTGGACAATTCAATAATCAGTCCTTTATAACTTATGCGACCTAGGGTGGATAGAGTTATTATTGTTGAGCTCACTTCCACTTCGCGTGAAAGTGTTGGGTGAAGAGATTCGAAGGTCCGTTCCACCAGAAAACGACGGCGGATTCCTATTGACCAGCTGTAGATTGGCTTTACTGGAAGATTCATGCTGACGCTGTTTCCGAGGTAATCTCCTTCGATTCTGGTAAAAAGGTGCTAACCTTTGTCCGTCATATGGCGAACATCATCAGAGCAAGGTATCATCGTCACGACCAAATTCAAGCTAACGAGTCAAGAAAACTCACCGGCTCTACTGGTAGTACCAATCTGGGTATAAGTAATTTAGTTGACTATAACACCAAATATTAGTTTGCTTGATCAATAATCCCAGTAAATATGTGATGTGAGAAAGGGCTGGCATGCTTTGAAATTCACATGTGTTCTTTGATGCACAGACACTCGTAGCAGTGTTGCGTGGTGGTAACATGTTGAAATTATACGCTGCACTACGAGGGTTTGATTTCCGTTTGAGGTGAGGATGAGACCCAGACGAGGTCGAAATTGTAGTCCAGCCTGTGTGAGAATAAGTGTTGGGAAGCGAGGCTATTTAAATTTGTAGATACGAAGAAAAACTGGGTTTCGATTAATCTCCTGAGATAAAATTGTTTTTTATTGAAAGTATGAGACCTACTCAGATCCTTGTGGAAATATTCAAATATCAGTCCTTCACTATCTTACGCGACCTATGATGAATACATATGCTATTCAAGATCTAATGGATATACCGAAGCCTATTTATTGTGAATAAGAAATATAAATAAAGAAGTATTTCTCAGAGACTTCATCAGCATAAACGTCTCAGGAAAATCAAACAGCAGACTGTTTCTGGTAAGATGCCTACAGCTCTATCCATTATTCACATTAACACGAAATGAAAGTCAACTCAGCAATTATATATAATTGAATATTAGGTAAAAAAGATGTTTTCACCCTATTTCATTAAAGTGATGAAGGACCAGTAGTCTCGAAAACTTATTTATAATCGAATAATGTTAAGTATTTGGCAAAATAGCTTTATTAGCTCACTTCCTACCACCCTGTTTCATGAGCAGCCAGTCTGATTCCTATATCTTCCTTGTTAAATGTGGCTTTAGCATTGTTCGGGAGTGAATTTAGTTACCTATTCATTTTATAATACAAAGTTTTACATGCGTTCTCTTTATTTAGGCGGACATCATTCAACGGACTCGCATGCAACTGACTAACAACATTTGGCACGCCTTGATCTGTCATGCCTCTTGTCTGGCATGCAAGCTTGGCTTTGAGGTTGATGGGCCAGCGGCTGGAGAGAGAGAGAGAGCGGCTGGAAAGAGAAACTTAGGCCAAGCCAAGTCGGTCATGGGCGATGAAATGGTCAGCCGCACGTCCTCCATAGTCGATAGCAAATCTAAAAGAATTAGAACTCATCTAATCCCTGCATCCCTTCAAAGTAAAGTAGATTGCTTACCAAATCAATGCTTGGCCTTTGATGTTGGGGCCAAACAATGCTTGTCTCCTAAAAGAGTGGAGTTTGAAGGTAATTCAAGCATAAACTAATTTGGCCAATTTTCACAACTCAGGTGGGCCTATGAATAATAGTTGCATTTAAGAAGTATTTATTTTACTTTAGATGGACGAATTCCCTCTGGGAAAGGCAGTCTATCGAATTTGGAATGTTCCAAACTGGGTACACATTTTCGTTAAAATTATATTATGTCAGTTTTGCTAATTTCTGGGAGAATTTGGCTAACAAATTATTGTGGATGGTAGACTGCCTATAGGCTTTTTCAAATGGCCTGATTCCCTCTATACAACTGTATCATTGTAAAATACCCTCGTCCTATTTCAGGCATCCCTCCATTTGCTATCTCTCCATCGGCCAGGGATAATTTCAGAATGCGCAATGTTTAAGCATGAACTGTTTACACATTTTCTTCTTGGTTTCGCTACTCAAAAGAGTCACTCTGCCTGCTCTTTGGATAGAAAACTTAATAAATGAGATTTCCCTGATGATTCGAACAAACGAATTGATTTTGAACTTGTCTCTAGCATGTCTCCTAAAATAGCTATGGTTAAATTGAATATTGTTACCTTTATGTAAGCGAGCTGGCGAGAATTTATTTGTGGGGAATATTTGAACGAGTATTATTTACAATAGCTATACGCGTACTGCTGCTGGATTGGTTTTAGCTAATGTAAAGTATGAAGACCAAGATGGTGTGGATTTTTATGTGGTGGCAGTCTCCTTTCATTGTACAGAGGTTGCTTGATCTTGTTTCCGCAACTTGATCATATATGTAGGATGACTTAGAGGAACACACCTAGTCCGGATTCCATTGTATGCATAATACTTTCCAAAGTCGGACCCTAGACATGGTACATTCCCAAACGTTTCGCCGGCATCATAGTCGGCATCATCAGTGAGTCTCGCGATTCTTAGCACCATACAACAACTCGTCAAAGAGACAAGTAAGCATATCCTTTGACCAAGCGTCTGCTAAACAGTTGTGGTATCTCCCCTTGTGCCCTATGCTACTCACATTTCCTATATCCTCCTATCACACCTTCACTGTCACAATTTTTTACCGTGCCTAGTTAGATGTAGTGTGGTGTGCTCCTTTGAGCGGCATTCATGAAAATCCTTCACACTCCACGCTGTCTTGATCACCGCCTTCACCCTTGTGCTGGGAATGTTTACCAGAGTCTGCCATATTGTTACGTAGTCCTCCTTCCCTGGGTCCTATCAGAGTCTCTCTCTTTCCTCGTAGAATCTGTCTACCCCTGCCCCCCCCCCATTTGTACTATTTGAGGCATAATTCGCCCATTCCCTGCACCTAAGTGACTGATTCGAGGCTAAAGCCTCTGAGTAAGTTTCATTGTCACACCTTTGCTACATGGGCCACGTCTTTGGTAAAACTGTCAGCCAACTAGCTCCAGTCTCCGCCGCATCTATTCTGTTTCTATGTCTAATACCAAGTCTATGACATGCCATGCCCTAGTCTCTTGTGTGCCAACCCACAAATATTCTGGTATTGCTTGCTTTGATTAAGTTAAATGTTGAACTTGCCCAAATTGTCCATGTACACAGTTGATAAAAGAGGTGAGAGTGGAGATCCCATCGGTAGTCCAAATATTTGCTCATAGATACTGTCGATAAATGTAAATATGTGGTCCTTACTGTCAGGTTGATCAGTCGTGTTAACGATTCTTTCCGTATCTGTTCTGCCTCCAGAATGTCCCATTTCTCCAACAAGGACTACGTAACAATATGACGGAAATACGCTAAGACTAATATTCAACAACCAGCATGGAGCAATACACAAACTAGCGAAATTCATTCGCTTGAAGCTCAGGAAAGTAAATGACAGAGTCTCGAATACCGTTAAGAATTCATATGAATTTTCTCAAAGGATCAAGAACATTGGGTTAGTGGGGTCAGAACTGTTGGTGAGCTTCGATGTACTATCCATGAACACAAACATCTCAGGTGAGAAGACAGTAAGCACTTTGCTTGAGATATTGGAGCGCGAAGAGGACATCCTGGAAGCAGAATGGATACGGAAAGAATCGTTAACACGACTTATCAACCTGAGAATAAAGACCACAAATTTTAAATTTAACGGCAGGGCATGGCAAGTCATAGACTTGGTATTAGAGATAGAAATAGGATAGACGCGGCGGAGACTGGAGCTAGTTGGCTGACATTTTTACCAGAGACGTGGGTCCATGTAACAAAGGCGTGACTATGAGACTTACTCAGGGGCTTTAGCCCCTTTGCTACATTTACCACGCCTCTGATACAACAGATCTAGCGTCAGCCAACTAGCTCCGGTCCCCACCGTCTCTATCCTGTTTCTATCTCTAATACCAAGTCTATGATTTGCAATGTCTTGTGTGTCAGCCCACAAATGTTGTGGTATATCTTGTTTTGATTTGGTTTAATGTTGACACACAAATCATAGACTTGGTATTATGGATATAAACAGGATAGAGACGACGGGGACCGGAGTTAATTAGCTGACGGTAGATCTGTTGTACCAGAGGCGTGATACATGTTGCAAAGGAGTGAATATGACACTCAGAGGCTTGCGCCTCAAATTAGCCACCCAGACGCGGGTGAGGGCGAATAACGCCTCGAGTAAGACAGATGTCGTGGCAGGAGTCGAGTGAAAAAGGTGAACATGAGGTAGAGCAGACGGATTTTACGGAACAAGAGAGCGACTGCGATAAGACTAGGGAAGAGGACTGCATAATAATAATAAAGCAGAATCTGATCAACATTCCCTGTGGGGGAAGAACGACAGTTGGAGTGTGAAGTTTTCATGTAGTTCAAAGGAGCACACTACACTATATCTAAATAAACACGGCAAAAAGTGTAATAGTGAAGGCATGATAGGATAATACCGTAAACGCGAATAACCCAGGGCATAAAGGGAGATACCACAATTGTTTAGCACACGTTTGGTCAAAGGATCGGCTTCACTTTTCTCTTTGACGAGTTGTTGTATGGTGCTAAGGATGGCGATACTCACTGACGATGCCGGCGAAACGTTTGGGAATTACCACGTCCACCGTTTAACTTTGGAAATGATCATGCAGACAATGGACTCCGGACTAGATGCGTTCCTCTAAGTCTTCCTACC